TATTTCTACATTCAGGATTGACTTCTAAAGATTCTTGGTACGTGAGGAAGAAACTCGGAAGAGGAAGAGGAAAGCAAAGGAGTCAGGGATGGCTCTTCCTCAGGTGAGATGATATTCTTGGTGGATTGTTCTGTTTCCTTCCTTTCCGAAGTGCTGGGCCTTGGAGTTGGGAATCTTCTCTGAGTCTGAAGCGTCCTGCCTGATAGGTTTGCTCACACTCACCCATGCCTTCCCTCAGTTCCCTCTCATATCGCTTAGATTCCATCTCTCGTGACCCAGTGACATGAACTTGGGAAGAGGCGGCACTGGGCATGGTCCTGGGAAGGGCTCACACCAGACATGGATGGAGATGGGGTGAGGGTCCCGTGGTGTGAGTGCTGTTGGGCAGCAGGGATTGTTCAGGGACCACATCTAGATGCTCTGTCAGCTCTCTGTGGACCTGGATTAGACCAGCTGCCCTCAGAAGTCATGTACTAATGTGCGCAAGTACCTGGTAAATTCTGCAATAAGAATTCAGGAAATCTTTTCTGCCTTTCTGTGTTTTGTTTTTGTTTTTTGTTTTTTGGAGACAAGAGTCTTGCTCTGTCATCCAGGATGGACCAGGATTAGAGCAGCTGCCAATATAAGTCACGTATTAATCAGCACAAAGTACATGGTACATTCTAGAAAAGGAGACCAATAAGGGGAAATGTTTTCTGCCTGATTTTATACTACATTTTTAGGTAATTGAGTGAGTTACTGTGTTTCTGACTCCAAAAATCTCATTAAAATGGAGAGTTCATACACAGATCATGGCTTACTGCAACTTCTGCCTCCCGGGTTCAAGTGATTCTCCTGCCTCAGCCTTCTGAGTAGCTGGGGTTGCAGGTGCCCCCCACCATGCCTGGCTAATTTTTGTATTTTTAGTAGAGATAGGGTTTCACTATGTTGGCTAGACTGGTCTTGAATTCCTGACCTCAAGTGATCCACCCATCTCAGACTCCCAAAGTGCTGGGATTACAGGCGTGAACCACCGTGCCCAGCCCCCAATAGTTATTTTTTCTGCTCCTCTCCTTCCTTGCACCCTCCACACTCAAGTAGACCCCAGTGTCTGTTGTTTTCTTTGTGTTCCAGTAAATATTTTACTTTGATATTTGATCCTGCTGGTTGTGAATTTACCTGTTGTCATGTTAGTAAACATGGCTAGCTTGCTCTTTGCCATCTGCATTGGAAAATGGCTGAATGACAACATGTGAGTCCTTCGCCATTTTTCCCTGTATGAGGAGTGCCATAGTGGTTCCTTCTGTGCACGCCTGCATTCCTACACATATCTGAAGATTCCTCCAGGTCAGGCAGTTGAAAGGGTGATTGCTTCCTCTAGGATGGGGCATTTCCTGTTTTCTTAGATCTGACAAGATTCCCCCTGCCCCCAACTGCCAAAGTGTCCTTTTCCAGCAAGATGAGATGCCTCTTCAGTTAAACACAACTTGCTACTTTTTATATTTTTAAGACTGTATATACACACATACACACACATATATACACACACATACACACATATATATACATATTTACATATACATGTGTATTTTTTGAAAATCTGCTGAGCTTGGTGACTCACGTGTGTAATCCTAGCACTTTGGGAGGCCAAGGTGGGTGGATCGCCTGAGGTCAGGAGTTCAAGACCAGCCTGACCAACATGGTGAAACCCCATCTTTACTAAAAATACAAAAGTTAGCCGGGCATGGTGGTGGGCACTGGTAATCCCAGTTACTCTGTGACTGAGGCAGGAAAACCACTTGAACCCAGGAGGCAGAAGTTGCAGTGAGCCAAGATTATATTACTGCACTGCAGCCTGGGTGACAGAACAGGACCCTGTCTTAAAAAAAAAAAAAACTGGAGAAAATGACAACTTTTTTTTTTACTAACATCTAGTTTCTTGTGAGTCTGTGTATGTTTTATTATTTTGCAAACTTATATAAACACAATGGATTTTCATACTTTGAGTATTCTGTTTT